GATAAAGGGACCTGACTCGGTCTAGTCGCACGCCTAAACGCGCGACCTGCGGGGCCTGGGTTTCGTCCGCACCGCCTCAGCGAATGCCGGCCAGACCCTCGAGCTGCAGTCCCCAGCCTCCGGTACCCGCCACGGTCGAGGAAACCCCAAGCTCTTCGGCCTCAGGCCAGACTTCAGCTAAGCGAACAAGCGGACAAGATCGACAAAAATAAGGGATACGCAAATGTCGCATCCACTCCGGTGCTTGAATAGCTGCCTGCACTGCAGACTTTAGCCTCTAACCCGCCGTTATAGACGAACGAGACCTGCTCCGGAACATCTCACGGTGAACAGCGCCAAGAAATTGTATCTGCGGGCTCAACGCCACACGGCCTGTCCCTCATCCGCGTCAACGAGAGTCAGGGCATGGGTTACGTTATATCCTTTCTCTTCTGCATCCTGAATGGATGCAAGTAGGGAACCACCAGTAGTTACCACATCCTCGACTATGGCAACTGGTTCGCCCTTCGGCGGAAACTGCCCTTCCGCAGTCGCTGCGGTGCCGTGTTCCTTGGATTCTTTCCGGTGATAAAACGCCCGGATCGGTTTGTCCTCTCGCATCCCGCTTAACATGACCACTTGGGAAACGATCGGAATCGCCCCGTACGCTACCCCGCCGACATATCCAATCCCTTCGGCGTCAAGATAATCGACGAGATGCCGTGCGACAAACCGGGCACCAGCGGGTTCCATAGTCAGCTTCTTTGAGTCGAAGTAATAATCCGATTTCTTTCCGGAGGAGAGCGTAAACTCACCGAACATCAAAGCCCCGGAAGCCTCCAGCAACCGGACTGGACCCTTTTCGGATTTCTCAACGCCCTCTTGGGTCGACTCAGTCGTCATAGTCAGCTCCTGTCAGGTCCCATACAAACCGTTCTCCCGGATATACCGCGCCACCGCCTCCGGCATCAGTCCGTCAACCGGCGTCCCCTCGGCAAGTCGTCGACGCAGCTCGCTGGCGCTGATATCAATGGCGGTAGAGTCGATGCACTCCACCCGTCCCGCAGCATACGGACAGCGCTCGTAGAATCCATCCCAGTCGAAGGCTGCATACCCTGGCCGGCTTACCGCCAGCAGGCTGGCCAATTCAACCACACCCTCAGGATCAACCCACTCGTCGAATTTGGACAAGACATCAAGGCCCAGGATGAATACCAGCTCCCAGCCTCCACCTAACTCATCTCCAAGATCCCGCAACGTCTCCACAGTATGAGTCGGTCCGGAACGCCACAGCTCAGCGTCGGACACCTCGAAGCCCGATACACCATCCACAGCGAGGCGGAGCATACTCAGCCGCTGCCCTTGACCGGCAGTCGGCTCGGCGGACTTAAGGCGAGGCTGCCCGGCTGGTATAAAAATGATCTGGTCAAGCCTTGCCTCCTCCTTCGCCCGCTGCGCAATCTCCAAGTGTCCGAGATGCACCGGGATCGAAAGTGCCGCCGAGGATTCCGACCCGTGTCAGAACCATTCAACTTCCACTTTACCAATGCGAATGGTGTCGCCGACCTCAATACCCACATCAATCAGCTTATCGGCCATACCGGTCCGGCGCATCTCACGCCACAACTGCAGCAACACCCGCTGGTCCCGCGTATCCGCCAGAGCGCTCAGCCGCTCGAGGCGCTCCGACTCGACAACAAATACACCATTCTCCATCCGCACCGACTCGGGTTCCCGACGCTGCCTGCCGAATGCTGGCTGCAACACCACTTGCTCGTCCGGAACTGCGTCCTTCGGCAATTCCTCAAGGATCGCAGCTATGCGCATTATCATCGCATCGACGCCCTCTCCGGTGGCTGCGGAGATGAACATAATCTCCCCGTCGACTTCACCCTGGTCATGCAAAGCGACTTTCAGAGCCTCGAGTATGGACGAACGCTGCTCCCGCACCTCGGTCACATCCAGCTTGTTCACCACTACGAGCTGCCGCTTGCCACCCAACTCGGGATTGAAATGCAAAAGTTCGTTTCGCACCATGAGGTAGTCGTCCGCTGGATCTTCAGCAAGTCCATCTACCAGATGCAACGTAAAGCCGCGCGCGCTCGGCATGACGCAGAAACTGGTGGCCCAGACCAACGCCCTTGTGCGCCCCCTCCAGCAGGCCAGGTATCTCCATCATAACGAAACCGCTCTTGCCTGAGCGAACAACCCCCAGAACCGGCTCGACGGTCGTAAACGGATAGTCGGCGACCCGCGCCTTGGCAGCGGAGCAGCGCGAGATCAGAGTAGACTTGCCTGCGTTGGGACGCGCCAGGAGGCCCACATCAGCCAGGAGCTTGAGCTCCAGGAACAGGACAGCCGCCTCGCCCCTCTCTCCACGTTCAGCTAAGACCGGTACCTGGTTCGTAGGCGTTGCGAAACGGGCGTTTCCCCAACCTCCCTTTCCTCCTCTGCCAACAAGCAACGGCGTATCGTCGCGAATATCGGCCAAGAGCTCCCTGGTCCCGTCCTTGTCCATCCGCCAAACAACGGTACCGATTGGCACCGGAACCAAGGTGTCATCTCCGTTTGAGCCACGCCGGTTCTTGCCCTTGCCGTGGCCACCCGGATCGCAATAAACAGTGCTATTAAACTTGATATGGAGCAGAGTATTATACGACGCGTCGCCGACCAGGTACGCGTTGCCGCCGTCTCCGCCATCTCCGCCATTGGGCCCACCCTTCGGTCGATACTTCTCACGAAGGAAGCTGGCACACCCGTTCCCACCATTCCCAGATTTGATGTTCAGCCTAACTGTATCAATCACTGAGGGCTCTATTGGAATAGAAAATCATTTGTCCAAGATTGCCGGAATTCGTGTTATTGCTGTGTTTCAAAAATATCTTCCGATCAGATTGAGTCTTATACGATAATAGTAATAAGGCTGTGGACACTGAGGATAACTTCTGATGCTTCCCGGCGAATGCTCACAATCCTATTCTGATTGAGTGTAAGGATGGTTAACTTGTTCGTATTTTAGCATGGGGATAATTTGTCTTTTTGGTTCAGCACGCTGCAGATGTGGTTGCCTTTGCCTCCTGTCTGCTGGATAGTTCACGGGAGCCGTTAGTGGCGCCCAGAAAGAACCCACTGGTCCCTGGCAGCTGTATACTTTGCGCGGTTAGTTTACCCACAGTTGCCAAGTGCTTGTCCACGGTCTTAGTTTGTTATCATAGCGAGGCTACATAAAGGCGCTTTCCTCTGGAAGGGAGCCGAGAATGTCGCCTCTGCGACGGTGGCTGATTGCGTTCATCATACCCGCAATCCTCTGGGCCTTGCCGGCCTGTGGTCAGCCTGAGCCAACGGTTGATGCCGAGCAGGAGAAAACACGAGCAGATGCAGGCCTCCATCCTATGGTGAATCGTATAGCCTACGTCGACAACACCGGCGACTTACTGGTGATAAACCCGGATGGCACCGGGGAAGAAAGGCTCACTGGTGACGTCAGGGCCGGGTTGCTTTCGCAAGCCCTGGTGCGTGGTGATTCCTACCCTTGGCCGACCTGGTCGCGGGATGGCTCGAGAATTGCGGCGTCTCGCGTTGCTGTGGGTGGGGAGGATGCCGGCCTGTCGATTCAGGTGTTTGATATGGCATCCGGTAGGATGACCGAAGGCTACAACAACGAAATGCCTGCTCCGGTCGCAGAGGGGACTCCCCACTACATTTACTGGTCTCCGGATGATCGCCACTTGAGTTTCCTGGCCCCTACTCCGGAGGGTCTGGCGCTTTTCGTTCGCGATTTTCAATCGCAGGATGCGCCGGGAGCAGTCGCAGTCGGTGCTCCACTTTACTTCCAGTGGAGTGCTGACTCGAAACTGCTGGCAGTGCATAGCGGGGACAGGGTAACTGTTCAGGAGCCCACTCCCAACGGAAACGAGGTTAGCGTTGCTGTCGATGCGATCGCCTTCCGCGCTCCGGCAATCTCACCCGATGGCTCGCAGGTCGCCTATGCGGGTTTCGGTGGCGGCGTGCACGGCATCTTCCTTGCCTCGATGGGACCTGGGGAGGAGCCACCAAGGATGGTGCTGGAAACCAGGGGCTTGACAGCATTCGCCTGGGCCCCGGACGGTTCATCATTGGCCGTTGCTGAGCAGTTGAGAGGCGGGACTCCGGTGTTCGATCGCTTGCGCCTCCTGTCTGCCGATGGCATTGAGATTTCCTCTGTGGTAGATGAACAGCTGCTGGCTTTTTTCTGGTCGCCTCAGGGAGACCAGATCGCCTGGATCGGTATCGAACCCCTGAGCCGTATGATGGACCTAGCTGTTTCCCCCGTGGCTGCCGGCAAGGCAACAGACGAGCCGCGCCACCTGTTCCGGTTCAGTCCTACCGGGGAACTGTTTACCATGTTGTCTTTCTTTGACCAGTACGCATACTCGCACTCGATCTGGTCGCCCGATGGTTCAGCCTTGGTGGTTGCCGGTACCGACGGTGCGGAATCGGGGAGGAGAAATGGCAGCGGGCCCCACGGCGGGCAGATATACGTGGTCGAGGTCAGCAGTGGTGAGGCCCGCCGTATCGCGTCAGGCAAGGTAGCTGTGTGGTCTTGGAACTGAGGAACAGGACCGCAGGGGCCCTTTCCCTCAGAGGATGCCACGGATGGAAGGCCGTTCTTGTTGTTGCCGTTCTCTTGGTGGGCGTGTCTGTCTTGTCGTGTACAGCTGCTGAGCCGACTCCGATCCCTACCGCAACCCCCAAGCCGGTTGATCCCAGGGAGGAGCTGCAGCGAACGGTCGGGCGCCTTTTGGCCCTTCAGTCGGTTACCTTCGATCTTCACCACGTGGTTGGATCGACCAATATTCTGCCCGGGGTCTTGATGAATCGGGCGTCCGGAAAGGCAATTGTTCCCGGTAAGTTCTCCGTTACTGTCGAGGGCGAACTGCTCTTCCCGCGCTCTTACCTGGTAATAGATATGATCAGCGTCGACGGTGCGGCGTATATGACGAATCTGATCAATGGAGAGTGGGAGAAGGTTGCCCCTGAAGCGCTACCCATCGACCTGAACAACCTTGGTGTTACGCTGGCCGACATTGTCGAAGAGGTGCAGGAGCCGGCAGTCCTGGGTCGGGACCGCTTGGACGGTGTCGATGTGCATCGCATAGGAGGCCGCATCACCTCCGAGGTTCTAAAGGAACTGGTTCCCACGGCCGGTACCGGTTTTCCCGTTGATTTGGAGATGTGGATACGGCAGGACACAGGAATGCTCATGCAGGCGTTGATTACCGGGCAGGTCGTCCTGACCGATGTAGAGGATTCTCAGCGGCAGCTGACCCTCAGTGATGTTGATGAGCCTATAAAGATAGAGCCGCCGGAGTTGTGAGATACTCGTACCCGATGAATCTCCCTCCCGCCGGACCCGGGGGAATTTGTTGGGGTGCCCTTGAGATCGCAACCTGAGGCCACAGGGTCCGCGTCCGCCAGCGAACACTCCACATGGGTAATCCTGACCATAACCGGTCTGGGTGCATTCATAACCGCACTCGACCAGACGGTGGTGGTGACTGCTCTCCCCAGCGTGATGCTGGATCTCAAGATCCCAATCACCGAACTGGACCGGGTCTCCTGGATCATCACTGCCTACCTCTTGGGTTACACCGTGGCCATGCCTCTCATCGGGCGGATAGGCGACGTTTACGGTTACCCCAGGGTGTACCAGGTCTCTCTCATAGTCTTTTGTATCGGCACCAGCCTGGTGGCGATTTCCAATAGCTTTGAGTTCATGATCGGCGCCCGGGTTATCCAGGCCATCGGTGGTGGTGCGACCGTGCCCCTTGGCATGGCGCTGGCGACGACCCTCGTGCCGCCGGAGAAAAGGGCACTGGCCCTCGGCGTCGTTGGTGGTGCGGCCGAGGCCGGCTCCATGCTGGGCCCGGCTTATGGCGGCGCCATCGTCGAGCTCTCCAACTGGCGCTGGATCTTCTGGCTCAACGTGCCCCAGAGCGCCTTGGTATTCGTAGCCCTGATGCGGCTGCCCAACCGCCCCGCCCGCGGAGACCGCGTTGACTACCTGGGAGGTGCGCTGCTAGTCGCCGCGCTATTGCTGCTGTCCCTGGCTCTCTCCCGCAAGGACCTGTTTACGCTTTCATCGCCGGTCCCGTTCATTCTTGCGGTCTCCGGGCTGGGGATGGGGGGCGTCCTGCTGGCGGTGGAAAGGCGGATATGGCAACCGTTGCTGGCCCATGTGTTCCTGCGTTCGTGGTCGTTCCTTCTGGCGAACATTACCCAAGCCCTCGTCGGCGTGGCGCTGATTCTCGCCATGATTACAGTCCCACTCACCGCCGACACTGTGATGTTGAAGGACCCGTTCACCGGCGCGTTGTGGCTGCTGCGGATGACCGGCGTGATACCGCTGGCGTCGGTGGTTGGTGGGTGGTTGCTGCCCAGGGTGGGCGGCCGTGCCCTGACGGTGACCGGCCTCCTGATGGTGGCCGCAGGTCTGTTTCTCTGTTCCCGCTGGGAAATTGGCGTCGATGACCCTGCGCTGACTTTGCAGCTGTTGTTGGCTGGAGGCGGCTTTGGGCTCGTTATTGCTCCCATCCTGCACCGGGCGCTGCGGGCGGTGAGCGAGGACTACCGCGCCACCGCCGCCTCGCTGGTAACCGTTGCCCGCATGATGGGCATGACTCTGGGATTGGCTGCGATGTCCGCGTGGGGTGTGGAACACTTCCAGGTCCTGACCTCCGGCCTCGAGTTGCCCTTGCCACAGACCGGCGAGACTACCGAGGTCCTGAACGCCCGCGTCGAGCAGTACACCGAGGGCATCAATGACGCGGGGCTGACGGTGTTCCGCGCCTTTTTCCGCACCGCGGCCATCATGGCCCTTGTCGCCATTCCCTTTTCGCTTCTGAGGACGCGAGGAGAGGGCAACGGAGGTCTGTAGATCGATGCGTCCGAAGACTCGGCAAGGGTAGGACTGCGGAGTGGATGATGGTGTCGGTTAGGGTGCTGGGCTTATCCTTCATCCCTCTGACTATTGCATTTGGGCGGGGTGCTGGCAGTCCCCATTTGTTTCTACGGCATTTGGCGTGTGGGTGTTTTGCTCTGGTGCTGCAGTAGGCGGTCTTCTTTGAGGTCCACCGTTCGTGGCTGCTCCTCCGACAGGGACAACACCGAAAGGCTGGGCCTCGATGCGGTTCTGTCGCGGTGTCAGGCAGCAAGGGGGGTCCGCCGTTGGCTTGCTGACCTCTGTCGCCTGCGCGTTGACCACCTTGGCCACCGTTGTTGCACGGAGGGGTGAATGTAGCGCTGATTGTGGGGGTCTTGGTTAGAGGCAGGGCCGGATCAAACGCATTCCTTTTCGTTGACCTGGGCCGCGGCATAGTAGCCAGAGCTTTTTCAGCGACGTCTGTTTCAAAGTGGAAACGCAGCTTCCAGCCGCTGCACCTGGCTCGGTGTCAGGCGCCATCCCGAAGCTCCGCAGTTCTCCTCGGTGCGGGCCACGCTGTTGGTCTTCGGGATCACCACCACCGGCGAGCGGCTCAAGCACCAGTTCAGCGCCACCTGCGCCGGCGTCTTCCCTGCCTCGCGGGCCACGTCCTGCAGCGCTTCCCAGTTGCGGCCAGCCCTCGCCCGAGGCCGGACGGCCAGGGAACCGTCGGCCAGCGGCGTGTAGGCCATGACTGTGATGCCCTGCTCCTCGCAGTAGGGTATCAGGTCCCTCTCGATGCCCCTGCGTTTCAGGTTGTAGAGAACCTGGTTGCAAACAATCGGATATTTCGACATCGCAGTCTGGGCATCCTGCAATTGGCCGACTGAGAAGTTGCTCACGCCGATGTACCGCACCATCCCTCTATCAACCAGTTCCTCCATGGCCCGCATCGTTTCCGCTATGGGCACGCCGTGGTTCGGCCAGTGGGATCTGGTACAGGTCAATGACGTCGTTGTTGAGCAGGCGAAGACTGTTCTCGGCGGCCCGCAGCACTTGGTCGTATCGCAGGTTGCTGCCCAGCACCTTGGTGGCGACAAACACACGATGGCGTATGCCCTGGATTGCCATTCCCACGGCGTCCTCGGTTCGGTACATCTCTGCCGTGTCGATCAGTGTCGCCCCCAGCGCGATCCCCCGCCTCAGCGGTTCCGGGCCACCGCGATACTTCCATGTCCCCAGCCCGACTTCAGGAATCCTCACGCCCGTGCGGCCCAGTTCCCTGTATTCCATTGGCGACCTCTCCCATCGGAGGATGCAGTATGTGTCTGGGCATGTTATACCAGTGGGAGCAATTACTGTGGGTCACGGCCCCGATCACCCAGACCCGGAAAATTCCCACTCGGAGGTATAGATATGGAGTTCCAGGACTACGAGAATTTTGTTAACAACAACCACCGCGGGGTTATCACCACCTACCGGCGCAACGGTGCGGGCCACACCAGCATCGTGGTCTGCGGAGCCTACAAAGGCAAGGCGGCCTATGTCATCGTGTACGGCAGCTCGGTCAAGGTCCGCAACCTCCAGAACGATAAGCGTTGCACTGTCATGGCGGTCAGCGAAGACTGGCGGAGCTGTGTCAATGTTGAGGGCACGGCCACGCTGATGGACTACCGCAACACAGACGCCGAGACGATGCGTGTAGAGTTGCGGGAGGTCTTCCGCGCCTGCAGCGCCCACGGCGACCACCCCGACTGGGAGGAGTACGACGAGGCAATGGTCAAGCAGGACGGCGTAATCGTCCTGGTTGAGCCGGAGCGCATCTACGGGAGGATCCGGGGCTAATAGCGGCAATCATTTACCGCGGCACTCAGTCTGTGCCGCGGTTAAACTATTTCATGATTAAGACAGTACAACGTTGCCTACGGTAGGAGAGGCGACTCTGAGTAGCGTACGCGCCTACCCCACGCCAAGCGAGGCGTCGGCCAGGCACACCAGTTCGCCCCGCTGGTTCGTCCCCCGCACCCGACACTCGACGATTCCCTTGTCCCCCTCCTGCCTGCGCCCAGTTACCTCCCCTGCGAACGTCACCGTGTCTCCGCTGCGGAAGGGGGTGATGGCCCGCATAAGCAGGCTCCCACCGTTGTAGAACGCCTCCGGCGGGAATGACAGATGCAGCATCTGGTCCACGTACGACATGGTGGCCGGCCCCGAATTCACAATGCTGCCGAAAATGTTCTGCCGCGCGAAATCCTCATCGGTATGAATGTTGCTCTCACTGGGCGGCCGTCCCGCCAGACGGAAGGCGCCGCGGCGATTTATGACGTCCTGTCTCTCGGTGATGTTCAGATCGGCCAGTGCCGTCCCTTCCACCGCTGAATCGAAGTCCAGCCGCCGCCTTTGCCCTGTCTTTCCTCTCCGCGGGTTGAGGGTTGGCGTGGGTGGAACTGGCGGGCACTTCGCGCTGTCCCTTGGCGTAGTCGAAGATGCAGGTGTAGTCGTACTCGACGGCCTTTATGCCGTGCTGATTGATTCCCTCAACGCGGAAGGTGACGAACCGGCTGCCTCGGCGCTCGTACTTCTCCAGCACCCCTCGCTTGCCGGTGATGACGTCCCCGACGCGGACGGGGTGGTGCCAGCGGATTTCGCACTTGGCGAAAGGAGTCTGCTTTCGCGCGGTCTGTGACTGCTCGTACCCAACGAAACCATTGGCTTCCGCGATCTCCTCCCGCAGCAGCACGGCGTAGCTGAGCACCATCGTTGGCATGGCCAACGTCGGCGCCGGTCCGCGATAGCGAGGGTCGTCGTTGAGGGCGACTTCGGCGTAACGGGAGATGTTTTCCTCAGTTATCTCCACCGTCGTCTCCGCGCCGTATTGTCCTGATTCCACTGCGTCGTAGGTCCAGAGCCTTTCCGCCTGTTCAACCATGTTCGCGCCTCCGTGCAGTTCGGCTGTGCCAGTGTGCCTGACGACGGATGGTCCTCAGGCGGCTGCCGCTTTCATTTACCGAATGTCCATAGGGTTGTTTGTGTCGGGCCCTGAGGTGGGCAGATGATCGAGGACTCGCCTTATCAGCCGCGGTGTATGGGCCTGATGCCCTGGGTCCAGGTGCCTGGTGGCAGCGTCAACGTAGGGCTGGCTGATTCGAGCTAGATATGCCGACACCTCTTCCCTGCGAATAGCATCCAGGGACTCAGTGTAGAAAGACACAATATACGCGCTGCCGAGCTGCGCGCCCGCCTGAATCGCCCCCGCCGCAACCAGCGTGGAAACCGCCAGCAACGAACGTTTCTGCTCTCTCGCAGCCTCATTTAACTGAACGAAAACTTCTGCCAGTCGCTGCGGCCCTGGCATCAGTCCGGCATTCTCCTTAAGCAGGTCCACTGAGTCCCGCATATCGGCTATGGCTGTGGGCGGAATATCTATCGCATCGGCCGCTTGGCTGACCGTCCTGTCGAGTACGGAGAGCAGGTCATCAACGGACGAGACATCTGTGCTCTCGGGGAGTACGTCTGTTTTCTTGAGTTCTGTCACAAAGGCATCCAGGTAGACGCGTGTCCCGCCCGTTACATCGGAGGCAACAGCCAGAAACCAGAGAGGGGAAAACCCTACTGTGAATACGCTTACCGCCTCTATGACGTTGCCGGCCACTTTGCGCTGGATCAGTTCCTGTCCCGATGCTCCATCCTGGGGGAAACGCTCGCTGACCCCGCCGATGGCCTCTACGGTAATACGCAGTGGCCGGGCAATGAGGCACTGGTATATCTTTGCGCCACGCACGGGCGGCGGCAGAATATGATCGGTGGCCTCAAGTAGCAGCCCGCCGCCTCCGGCCGCCGAAGTGCGAACCAGGCGTTCGGGAAGCGAAATCACGTATCCGGCCAATGACTCTCGGTCTCCCAGACGATTCCCTTCGTCATCTCTCGAACCTGAAGCGTCTTTGCTGAGGAAGCCCGGCATTATCCCCTCGCCGGTAATGAATAGGCCCCTATCAGGATAAGGCCCTGCTGCCCCCATAATACGCGCTACTGTCAACGGCCGATCATGCCTTCGGAACGGGATTCCCCACCACGAAGACACACCCCCGGTCCCGGTTGAAGGAGGGGGTGTGCGTTTACCTTGCGAGATCTCGCCTTTGGCCTCCGGTGGAATCGACATTCCGGGGGGCTGGCGCTTCATGCCACCTTATTGAGTGGCGAGATTGCCTTGGAACCCGTGCCCCGCTGCCTGCAGCTCGCCAACTGCGTAGTCAGTTTCGCTAAAGCAGGGGTTGCCAGGGAGCAGACATCTCTGGGAGATTTCCCCTGTCACGGCATTTCCCGCATTCTCGAATGCAGTAATGCCGAAGAATCCGCGCCCAACGGGCTCCTGCCTCACGTAAGCGTGGCTCGTGCCCTCTGCTGCAGGTCGGACTTCCGATCTGGAACTGGAAACTACTTCACCACATTCTTCTGTTGGGTCAGCGGGCATTCAACAGTCGATCTGCTGCCTTCTGCTGACACTGTGTCCGGAATTCGAAGGCTCCCGAACCACAACAAGAAGACCACAGCCGCCAGCACGGCGACCCCAGCAACCAATGTCCTCGGATTAGTTGATCCCGTTGCATTTGCGTCGAACGTCCAGCCCATGGTTTGCCCCCCACTATGTAGAATATGATGTATCGTAATGCTGTCCACCCCGAAAATTCTACAGGAAATTGTAAAGAAAATATGATAATTCTATCCGGTAATTATTGATAATTGTGAACTTAACTATATTAATCATCTCTAATTGTGATACTCAACGAGAGATTAATATGCTGCTGCCACAAGGAAAAGTTAATGCAGTGGCATCATCGAATATAGCCGCTACGATATGATGTGACTCAATCTGAGGCTGAACCGGAGGAGCACCATGAAGGTTGGATTTATTGGATTGGGAACAATGGGGGCCAGCATGGCCTACAACTGCCTGCAGGGCGGCAACGAGATGGTCGTCCACGACATCCGGCGGGAGTCCGCCACCCAGCACCTCGAGGCAGGCGCGGTGTGGGCCGACTCGCCCCCGCGAGGTTGCCGAGTCGTCGGAGATCGTCTTCACGTCGCTGCCCGGCCCCACGGAGTCGAGGCCGTGGGCCTCGGCGAAGACGGCATCCTCGAGGGCATGAGCGAGGGCAAGGTCTATTTCGACCTCAGCACCAGCACTCCCACGCTCATCCGTCGCATCCACGAGCAGGCCGCCGCCCGCGGCATCCAAGTCCTCGACGCGCCGGTCAGCGGCGGGCCCCGGGGCGCGGCGTCCCGCAACCTCGCCATCTGGGTCGGCGGCGACAAGGAGGTCTTCGACCGCTGCAAGCCCGTGCTGGACAGCATAGGCGACAAGGCCTACTACGTTGGCCCCATCGGCTGCGGCGCCATCGCCAAGCTGGTCCACAACTGCACCGGCTACATCGTGCAGGCGGCGCTGGCCGAGGTGTTCACCATGGGTGTCAAGGCCGGCGTCGAGCCGCTGGCGCTGTGGCAGGCCGTACGCAAGGGTGCCCAAGGCCGCCGCGGCACCTTCGAGGGACTCGCCGAGCACCTGCTCCCCGGCAAGTTCGACCCGCCCGACTTCGCCCTGCGCCTGGCCCGCAAAGACGTTGATCTCGCCCTCTCCGTGGGCCGCGAGTACGACGTTCCCATGCGCCTCGCTCAGCTCACCCTCCAGGAAATGACCGAGGCCCTCAACCGAGGCTGGGGCCACCGTGACTCCCGAGTGGCCATGCTCCTACAGGAAGAGCGCGCCGGCGTAGAGGTCCGGGTAGAGGAAGCCCTCCTCAACGCCCTCCTCGAAGAGGAACGGCAGGCGGGCGCGGGGTAGTATCATTGGAAGTGCAGGCACCACTCATCCGCCAGAGCGGAGGCGCACATGATCATCACCCGCTTGAAACTGACCAACTGGCGCAACTTCAGCGATGTTGATGTGCCGCTGCTGGACCGCGCCTTCATAATCGGCCCCAATGCGTCGGGCAAGTCAAATTTGCTCGACGCCATCCGCTTTCTCCGAGACGTGGCGAAACGAGAGGGTGGTGGACTGCAAGCGGCGGTGCGGCGCAGGGGCGGTGTGCGCCAGATACGCAGCCTCTCGGCTCACTCCGGCGTTGGGGTGGGCATTGAGGCACACCTCAGCCGTGATTCTGATGAGCCCGTGGAGTGGGTGTACCGGCTAGTGTTTACCGTGGAACGTTCCGGCAATCACCGCATCATGGTCCAGGAAGAAGTGGTTGATCATCAGGGCGAGACCTTGTTGCGCCGCCCCAACCGGGATGATGGAAATGACCCGGAACTTCTTACGGAGACCGCGCTGGAGCAGGTTAACGCCAATCGCAAGTTCCGCGCCGTGGCCGAGTTTTTTGACGAAGTCACTTACTTGCATCTTGTGCCACAGCTAGTGCGTTTCGGAGCGGAAATCGGCGGTAACCGCCTTGAAAACGATCCCTTCGGGCAAGGTTTTTTGGAAAGAATAGCGGCGACTAACAGCAAGACTCGCCAGAGCCGCCTTAACAAGATTGCGACTTCTCTTTCTCACATCGTGCCTCAATTGGAAGAACTGACCTTTGAACGAGATGCAACCACCGGCCAACCCCACTTGAAGGCCCGTTTCGAGAACTGGCGCGCCAACGATGTCTGGCAACGGGAAGACCAGCTTTCTGACGGGACATTGAGACTCATTGGGTTGTTCTGGTCGTTGCTGGAACGCGGCGGCCCGCTGCTTATAGAGGAGCCGGAAATTTCCTTGAACCGGGATATTGTGCTGCGTCTTGCTTCCTTGATTTACAGGATGAGCGTTCCAGTCAGGCGTAGAAGAGGTGATGACCGTCCCAGCGAACGCCGCCAAGTTATTCTCACCACTCACAGCCCGGAATTGTTGTGCGACCAAGGCATAGATGGATGGGAAGTGCTTTGCATCGCACCCGGAAAGAATGGCTCTATCGTGAATCCCCTTGCGGATGACCCACGCATATGCGAAATACTAAAGGCGGGGGTTATGCCTGGCGAAATCGCGCGATTTCGAGATCCCAAGGTACAACTACCCATGCACTTGGGACTTTCGCTTTAGCTTAATGCTGATCACCTTGCTGATAGAGGACAACGTGTCAAGGTCAGTTGGCAGGCGACTGATTGATGATTACTTGCCGAGCGCTCAAGTCTATGATGAATTGGTGGCTGGTGGCTCAATTAGAAACCGGATATCGGGAATGAACCAAAGAGCTATGCGCCTAGGTCCGGTATTGGCAATTGCGGATTTGGATCGACCGATGATCTGCCCTGCTGACCTCGTTTCTGGATTATCAGGCGGATTAACGATCGCTCCCAATCTGCTTATTCGCATTGCCGTAATGGAAATTGAAGCTTGGCTGATGGCTGATGGCGGATCGTGAAGGGCTAGCGAGTTGGTTGAGCGTTGCCACAAGGTTGGTTCCACTCCGTCCCGAAACTCTGGAAGATCCCAAGAGAGGGCTGGTGCAATTGGCAGGCCGCTCTCTCAACAGGCGCCTGCGGGAGGCGATTGCCCCGGCCCGTGTGCGCGGTACTCACCGCACAGGTCGGGCCTACAACGACGAAGCAGGGGAGTTCGTGTCGCTGCGCTGGAACCCCGAAGCTGCTCGGCGCAACTCTCCCAGCCTCGACCGAGCCATCACTCGCATCTGCGAACTGGCAGTTCTAGCCCCCTAACCCTCCCCCGTCCAGCGGAGGTTGGGACGCCGCGCCGCTTGCGCCTCGTCGAGGCGGGCCACTGGCGTTGTGTGCGGGGCGTTGCGGACGAGGTCCGGGTCCTCGTTGATCTCGGCGTTGATCTGTTTCAGGGCGGCCACGAAGTCGTCGATCGTCTCCTGCGTCTCTCGACTCCGTGGGTTCGATCATCAGGCACTCGGGGACTATCAGCGGGAAGTACATCGTGGGGGCGTGGAAGCCGTAGTCCAGCAGCCGCTTGGCGATTTCCAGGCCACCGGCGCCCCGCGCCTTCTGCCAGTCCGCGGAGAAGACGGCCTCGTGCATGCAGGTGCGGTCGTAGGGCAGGTGGTAGACGTCCTTCAGCGCGTTCATCATGTAGTTGGCGTTCAGCACCGCGTTGCCGCTGATCGACGTTACGCCCGCAGCGCCCAGCGTCCGGATGTAGGTGTAGGCCCGCACCAGCACCCCAAAGTTGCCGTGGAACCCCGCCAGCTTGCCGATGCTGTGTTCTGGGGTGTGCAGATGATAGAAGGAGTGGGCTTCGCCGATCTGTCTTTCATCAGGGTCGCTGCCCGACATGGGCACGAAGGAGTGCGTGGTAACCACCGGTGCAGCCAAGTAGGGTGCCAGCCGCTCGGTGGCGCACACCGGTCCGGCGCCCGGGACCGCCGCCGCCGTGGGGCGTGCTGAAGGTCTTGTGCAGGTTCAGGTGGCACACGTCGAAGCCCAAGTCGCCCAGTTTCACCCGGCCCAGCACCGCGTTCATGTTGGCGCCGTCGCCGTAGACCAGCCCGCCCGCCTCGTGGACGATGCGGCAGACCTCGACGATGTTGGTGTCGAACAGCCCCAGGTGCTGGGGAGCGTGATCATGACGCCGGCCAGGCTGTCGTCGGCCACGTCGTGCAGCGCCTCGAGGTCCACGTTGCCCTGGCTGTCCGAGGCCAGCTCCACCACCTGGAACCCTGCCATTGCCGCCGAAGCCGGGTTGGTGCCGTGGGCGCTGTCGGGGATGGCTACCTTCGTCCGCCCGGTCTCGCCACGGGACTGCAGGTAGGCCTTGACCATCAGCATTCCCGCCAGCTCGCCGTGAGCGCCGGCCAACGTGGCCAGGCTCACCTCGGGCAGGCCGGTGATCTCGCCGAGGAACTCCTGCAGCCGGTGCAGCAGCTCCAGCGCCCCCTGTGATTGCGCGGCAGGCTGCATTGGATGGATGCCGGCGAACCCGGGCAGGAAGGCGGTCTCGTCGTTGATCTTGGGGTTGTACTTCATGGTACAACTCCCCAGGGGATAGAAATGCGTGTCGATGGAGAAGTTGCGCTGGCTGAGGCCGGTGAAGTACTGCACCACCTCCGGCTCCGAGATCTCCGGCAGCGGCAACTCATCCCGCAGCAGCGCCGAGTCGGGGAGCGGCTGCGGAGGCACGTCCGACGCCGGCAATACGGCCCCGGCCCGGCCCGGCACGCTGCGCTCCATCAGCAGTTTTGATGTATCCCGGTTTCCGCCTTGACGCATTTCTCAGTCTCCGATGTCTGTTCCGGCTAACTCAGCTTGGATGGTACTTTCCATCGCGAGTGGTGTTGTGTTGCGGATTTCGCCCGTATGTTTTCCGATGTGACGACAGTTTTGCCGCCTCTACCCGCTCCGCCGACGTTCGCGGAATTGGTCTAGTTTCACAACCAATTTGTCGCCTCGACCCATCTTGCCGACTTCACGATGTTCAGCAGCACGTCGGGCTGGGTTGTTGGTAGAGCCTAAATACGTGGTCTTGCCGCCACTGTCCTTGATGGAGTATTGAACGGTTTTCCCATCCCGGATTTGACCTTTTGATCTGCCGCTGCTGCCCGCGCTGCCTCTTTGCGAGCCCCCAGAGCTGGAAGGACGTCCTCTCCCGGATGACCCCTTCCACCCCTGAAGCCACCACCTCTGCTAGCAAAGCCTCTCGCCATGCTCTTTCCCCCATGTTCCAGACTGGGTATCACAGAATGTCAAAGTGGACCTGCGGAAATAGGCCTTATCCCGCTAACGCCGCCGCCAGTTTGTCGATCTCGTCCTTGGTGTTCATCTCGGTTACGCAGAGCAGCATGCCGTTGGTGTATCGGTCGCTGACGTCCAGGCCGCCTAGGATGTTCTGCTCCATCAACTGCCGGTTGATCTGGGCGGGCGGCGCTGGGCACTGGGCCACGAACTCGCGGAAGAGAGGACCGCTGTTGGCGATGGAGTAGCCCGGCAGCGCGGCGATCTGCGATACGGCGTACTGCGACTTCTGGTAGCACAGCTCGGCCACCTGCCGCAGGCCCGACTTGCCGAGCGCGGCTAGGTAGATGGTCGCGGCCAGGGCGTACAGGGCCTCGTTGGTGCAGATGTTGGAAGTGGCTCGCTCCCGCCGGATGTGCTGCTCCCGTGTCTGCAGCGTCAGAACGTAGCCAGTCTCGCCGTTGCGGTCCACGGTGCGACCCGACAGGCGGCTGGGCATCTGCCGGATGTATTCCTGCTTGGTCGAGAACAGCCCCACATACGGCCCGCCGTAGCTGGGTGGAATCCCCAGCGGCTGCCCCTCGCCGGTTACGATGTCGGCTCCGTAGTGTCCCGGAGGCTGGAACATTCCCACGGCAATGGGGTCACAGGACACCACGGACAGCGCGCCCGCGCTGTGTGCCGTGTCCACCTGCGCCCTCAGATCTTCGATTCCGCCGTAGAAGTTGGGGTACTGTGTGACCAGGCAGGCCGTTGCGTCATTCACTCCCGATGCGGCGTCACTGACCGTCGCCACCTCGAGGCTCTGCGGACGGCAGTAGGACTCGATGACCGCCCGGTAGGCGGGCGACACGGTGTCCAGCACCGCTACCCGCTCCCGCCGCGTAACCCGGCACGCCATCAGCGCCGCCTCGGCAAGGCTGGTCGCGCCGTCGTACATCCCGGCGTTGGCGACCTCCATCCCGTACAGGTTGCAGATCAGCGTCTGGAACTCGTAGATGACCTGCAGCGTGCCCTGGCTGGCCTCGGCCTGGTAAGGGGTGTAAGCGGTGATGAACTCGCCGCGGGTGACCAGTGATTTCACGATGGCGGGGATGAAGTGATGGTACGATCCGGCTCCCAGGAAGGAAGGCCCGCTACCCAGTGTACGGTTGCGCCCGGCCAGTGCCCCAAGCTCACGCTGAATTTCCAGCTCTGACAGAGGTTCGGGGATGTTCAGAGGTGGATTTGCGGTGCTCTGCCGGTATGTCGGTGAACAACTCGTCAATCGACGAGATGCCCAGGGAGGCCAGCATCCCTGCCTGCTCGGCGGGGGTGTTCGGGATGTAGTGGGACTGGAAATGCCCGTTGCCGCTGTCGGCGCTGCCCGAAGCCATCAGTGCTGCTCGGCTACAAAGGCGTTGTATTCCTCCGCCGACAGGAGCGAATCCAGCTCCGTCGCGTCGCTCATCGTAACCCGGACAAGCCAGCCCTCGCCGAAGGGGTCTTCGTTGGTCAACTCCGGCCGGTCGGTCAACGCGGAGTTGATCTCAATGACTTCACCGCTGACCGGGGAGTAAAGATCGGAAACGGCCTTGACCGATTCCACCTCACCCATCTTGCCCAGTTGCGCCACGGTGTCGCCGACCTTGGGCAGCTCGAAGTAGACAATGTCGCCAAGCTGGTCCTGGGCGAAGTGGGTGATGCCGACCAGCGCCCTTCGGGTGCCGGCGTCTTCAACGATAATCCATTCGTGCTCGCGCGTGTAGCTACGGTCGTTGGGATTCATCGAGGCTGAATGCTCCTTGCGGCCAGCGGCGGAGGAGAGGAAGCGTGTCTAGTCGCGCCGCTTGGCTCTTGCTGTTCGTGGGCGTCGATAGTGTGGAAGAGAGGTGACCGTGATCTCCTCAACGAGACCCCGTTTGTCCATCTCCAGGACAGTTCCCGGTCGCGAGAACTCAGGAAAAACGTAGCCCATACCCAGACTGGTGTCAAGGGTGGGCGAGTAACAGCCCGCTGGTCACCTGGCCGGCCGGAAAGCCCAAGACCGAGAGGGCATAGGTGGCCCGGGGCGCTGACCGCCCCGGCAGCTGCAGCCCGACCAGCGTGAATTGGGTGCCCTTATCCCGCTGCTCGGCCAGAGCGTCATGTCCAATGAAATCCTTATCGAAGTACACGAACCGCTCCAGTTGCGCCTCAACCGGGGTGGTGGACTCGTCCAGCTCGTGACCGTGAAGCGGCAGACCGGCCTCGGTGCGCAGCACGTCCCGGGCGCCCAGACCGCAGGGAACTGCCCCGGCATTGGTCAGGGCCTCCCAGATCGAGGGAGCGGCAGGGGCCGGGGCCAGGATTTCCACGCCGTCTTCGCCAGTGTAACCCGTCCGTCCCACCAGCACATCGGCGCCACACATCCGCGACTCCGTCCACGCGAACGGGCGCAGCCCCTCGAGGCCGCCCTCCGCCAACTTCCGTGCCAGCCCCAAAGCGGTGGGACCCTGGCATGCCATCAGCGAGGTCTGCATCGTCTGGTCGTTCAGTGTCACACTGTCGCCGAATTGCTGGCCGATGACGAGGCCGAACCAGTCGAGCACCCGGTGGCGGTTGCCGGCGTTGGGGATGAGCAGGTAGCGGTCCTGTGCCAGTCGATAGAAGATGGTGTCGTCGATGACGCCGCCACGCTCGTTGCAGATCATGCAGTAGCGGGCCCGCCCGACTTCCAGCGTAGCCGCCGATCCGGTCACCACGAGGTCAAGAAAGTCAGTGGCTGACGGCCCCGAGATGTAAACCCGCCCCATGTGCGAGACATCGAACAACCCGGCACCGGTCCGCACCGCCCGCACTTCGGCGATGATTCCCGAAGGGTACTGCACCGGCATATCCCACCCGCCGAAGGGCACAATCCGCCCGCCGGCGGCAACGTGGATGTCATAAATAGGAGTGCGAATGTTGGCGGAATCCATTGTTTTGAGACCCCCGGATGCCGCGGACCAAATGCGGCGGCATGTGTATCGAATCCGTCACTACGATGATAAACAACAAGCCCCGCTGCCGCAACTTTGCTTGATGAGACCCGTGGCAGTGTTACTCCATGAATTAGAGAATAGGTCATCAGCGAATGGTTACTGCCTCCAGGCTACTGAACCGGTTTATCCGGTAAATGAAAGGCCTCGGAGTCGTGCTAATCGCATCCAACATTCGTTCGTAGGCGTTAAGGAAGCAACGCATCTTTTCCCACCGCCGAGCTTGAGCTCCCCAAATGTAGAAACACCCCATTCTGTAATCCCGGATGGCAGAATTCTCTGGATCTCTCCGGTGATGCATTCTGTCGTGGCCGATCAGAATCCATCCTTGCGATCCCACAACAGGCATCCACACATCGTCCTGAGTGTCTCCCGGAAAGTGATCTTGGAGGAACTCCACCGCCGTGGGTAGCCTTAACACATTCAGAGCTCTCGGGAGTGCCGTTCCGACGTCGCGGTCAAAGAACAGGACTGGTGTTGTGTTCTCCTTAGTGGTCACAATTCAGGCTTCGTGGTTGTCTGCGCCAAGGTCGACGCCCTCAAACGATAGGCCGTACCGAATGTCATCCTCACTGAGGCCGAAATCGTCTCGAATATCCGTGACCACTTCGCCAGCGTCCCAGCGTCCCTTAAGGGCCCAAGTGGGCACTCCTCTAACGTTGGGTGCCCCGAAGGAAATACGAGGGTCTATTGACACTGGATTATTTCTACCTCGTAAGTGCCACACCAGTGCAATTTCATCCTCGTAGTCGAACTGATGGAATCGGTCTCCGATCACTGCCCTCCAACTCATCTGGCCATGCTCATCGGCAACTACAAGGTTATTTGCAAACGACCGGCCTACTGTGTCCCGAAGCTCTAGCAAAACATGATGGCCTTCGGTAAGCCAGGAATACTCTGCAAAGGGATATTCCGACTTGAGCACATGGGCAGCATAATCTCTGGCTTTCCGAATTCGTTGTAGTGGAACTCCCATCCTACGGAAGGTGGCTACGAAAGCGACCTCTACTAGTTGGTAGTAGGACAAATCTTGTCCCCTGTCCCGGCCTGGTAGGGTCGCGGTAGTTCGAGCATTCCCCAAGTGCCAACGACTGACAGTCTGGGGATGGGCCTCGGCATATCGACCCGCATCGCCAACGCGATAGGCCGGAAGATAAAGTCGTCGGCGCCAAGGGGCAACAGCTGACTTTTTTGTCTTCACTGTCAAGATACCATTCCCTCTGGTTGTTCTGTGCTAACGATACTTTCGGGCAGATGGTTTGACAACTGTGGAGTTGCAGCGGAATATCTACCCCTACTCCCCCGGCGCCAGCCGGAAGCGCCACAGCGCTACGGTCAGGAACACCGCCGCGAATACCAGCAGGGCCGCCATCTCCGGCAGCACATCGCCGAACTCGGCGCCGAAGAGCATCAGCTTGTTCAGGCCGCCGTTGGCCCAGCCGTGCGGCGTGAGACGGCCCAGCGACTGCATGAACGGCGGCGTGATGAACAGAGGCCACCAGCTTCCCCCGATCGGCGCCAGCACCAGCGATGTCAGCACTCCCGCCGCCGATGCCGTCCGCACGTTGCCGACGAAGCTGGCCAGCAGAACCCCGAAGGCCGCCGAAGCAACGACCATCAGCAGCGACAGCAGCACCACCGCTGCCGGCGACTCTCCCAAGTCGATGTTGAAAGCCAGTGCGCCCACAATCCACATCACCGCAACCTGGGTCACGCCGATGATGCCTCCTGCCAGGAACTTGCCAACGATCAACGACTCGCGTCGCACTCCGTTGGCCATCAGACGCTCCAGCGTGTGCGTCTGCCTCTCCCGGGCCATCGCCTCAGCGCCCATGGCGGCGGTGAAGAAGATGAACATCGTGAGATAGCCCGGCAGGACGAAGTTGGAGGTGTTGAACGGCGCGATCTCGCCAACCTGCTCCACCTGCACGTTGATGGCTGGTCCACTGGTGTCGGACATCATCTCCGCCAATGCCGTTGCCGCCTCCTGTGGGCTGCCCAGAGCGACCACAGTCGACAGCGTCGCCCGTGCCTCGGAAAACCGGGAGGCGATTTCCTGCGCGAATCCCCGCAGCGCGGCCTCGTTTGCAGGGGGAACCTCGCCCACTATTACCTCCAGCGGTACTGTCTCACCCGACAGGAAGCGTCGCGTAAAGTCCGGCGGGAAAGCCACGAAGCCGTCTATCTCACCTGCGTCCACCGCAGCAACGGCCTCCTCGTAGTCCACGGCCGTCGCCGCGCCATCCGTGGCTGCCACGATCGTCTCCACGGCCTGCACGCTGATGCCGACCGTCTCCTGCGTGGCAATGGTGAACCGAAGGGCCTCATTTTCCGGTCCGACGTCGCGCAGCGCCAGCGAGAACCCGATGACGAAGATGAATGGCAGCAGGAACGAGAAGGTCAGGGCCGCCCGGTCCCGGAAGAATATCCGGGTGTCCTTGGAGGCCAGCAGCAGGGCCTGGCGCATCACTGTCTTCATCCCTCGCTACCGTCCCTCCGGCGTGATGCTGAACAGCAGGCGGGCGACTGTCAGTCCCACCACCGCTACGCCCGCCATCACCGCCATCTCCAGCCATTGCAGCCCCAGGTGCTCTCCCTTGCCGATTATGTTCTGCATCGCATCTATGGCGTAGGCGTTGATTGTGGCCCTGGATAAGGTCTGCAACAGGCTGCCCTCGGCAATTTCAAAGAAAGTGCCGCTGAAGACCACCATTAGCAGCGTGAAGAACACCGCCGCCCACGTCGCCTGGTTCCGGGTTCGGGCCACTGCTCCGATGACCAGCGACACTCCGGTGAATGCGGCGGCGGCCAGCATCGCGAAGGCCAGCAGCTCCACGAAGGCCAGCGGTCCGCCGGGACGGAACACGACAAATGCCAGCGAAAGCATCACCACCGTCTGGAACATGGCCCGCATCACCCCTGACAGCAGCTTGCCAGCAAAGAGCTGATTGACCCCCAGTCTCGTGGTCATCAGTCGCTCCAGGGTGCCGGTGCGACGATCCTCGACCAGTGCCTGGGCTGCCAGCGTTACCGAGAACATCACAAACATAATGATCAGCCCCGGCAGCAGCCGTGAAAACAGACCGTCCCCTGATTCCTCCTCACGATCCTGACCGGGCCGCCGAACTTCCACCACCACTGGCGGGTTGGTACGCAGCGAGGCCAGTTGTTCCCCAACCTCCGCCTCGATGCTCGCAGCCGCAACCCCAGAGTCAGCCAGCGCCCTTTGCGTTTGCACGCGTACCCGGGCGTCCGTGGCCATGTCGCGGGCAATGCCCCGGACGATGGCGCCGACAATCTGGCCGGTGTCCCCACCGTTGCCGCGCTGTCGGAACACCAGGGGCGCGGGCTCTCCTGCCTCCATAGCCTCGCTGAAGCCACTTGGGATGACTACGGCGAATAGTATGGCCGAACGGTCCAGCGCACCGTCTGCGTCCGACTCCGTGCGCTCCTCCACCTCGATCTCGGCCAGCGAGTCCATCCGCTCCACCAGTTCCCGTGCCTGTGTGCCCCCGTCGAGGTCAACGATGCTGGCTGGCGTGAAGACTTCGCTGTCGCTGCTGAGTGCGCCGTACATCAGAGCGAACAGCAGTATGGGCAGGGCGATGCTGAAGGCGAGCTCGGCCCGGTTGTTCAGGAACAGCTTCAGTTCGAGCAGGGCAATGTGAATAGGGCGCAGCATGGTTAGTTATCGAGGACTCCGATGGAGGTCCCTTTCTCTGGGGAAAATGTCGGGATGAAGGCGTTCAGTCCCGAAGGCTGCGGCCGGTATGCTCGAGGAACACGGTTTCCAGCGTCACTTCCTCGGGATCCCCAATCTCCGCCTTCAGCTCCGTGGGGGTCCCCAGCCGAATCAGCTGCCCGTGGTCCATTATCGCCAGCCGATTGCAGAGGCGGTCCGCCTCCTCCATGTAGTGCGTCGTGTAGAGCACGGTCATGCCCTCGTCCCGAAGGCCCTCCACCGTCTCGAAAATATGGCTGCGCGACTGAGGATCGATACCCACCGTGGGTTCGTCTAAGAAGAGCATCTGCGGGCGGCTCATCAACGCCACCGCCAGGTTAACCCGGCGCTTCATTCCCCCGGAAAACTTGTCCACCTTGTCGCGGGCCCGCTCCGTTAGGCCCACCGACTCGAGGTGCTCAGCCGCCGCGGTCCTGGCCTCCCGCCCGCTGAGCCCTGCCATGCGGCCGAAGAACACCAGGTTGTCGGTCGCCGAGAGTTCCGGGTAAAGAGCCAGTTCCTGTGGGCAGACGCCAACGAGACGTCGGACCGCGTCGCTCTCTCGTGTTACCGAGTGCCCATCGATGACCACGTCGCCTTCGTCGGGCTCCAGCACCGTAGAGAGGATGCGGATGGTGGTGGTCTTTCCAGCCCCGTTCGGCCCCAGAAGGCCGAAGATCTCCTGTTTGCGGATGCCGAAGGAAACACCGTCCACAGCCGTCAGCCCACCAAACGCTTTGCGCAGGTCATTGGCGCTCAGGAACTCTGGGGTCGTGGTAATTGAATCGGTTGTGGTCATTGGTTTTTTGCTCCGGCAGCCCTGGACCGGCAAATTCCCCGCCCGGTTCAGTCATTCCCGCAGCAGCGGGAATCAAGGGACAGCGGACTTTGGCCGGGATGCCGGAACAAGCGACATTGTATAGGCAATAAGCCCGAACCGGTATGAGTACTTGTGGACTGCGCTCTATGGGAGCCTGTGAGTGGGATAGGAGTGAGCCGTGACAGGTTAGACTGTCGCTCCAGCGCCTGTACGGTAGTTATCCCACCAGTTCCACGAACCCCGCTTCCA